TTTTCAGACAGGTTCTTTCGTTCCGCCCGCAGCATAGAAATTTCACACTCGAAAGCGGCAATGGTGCACACGCAGCACTCTCATGCTGCTTGTTTCACTTTATCAAATATTGCAGATAACCAAAGCACTCGCATCATGGCGGCAACGCGGCGCTGATGGATATGTCATGAGCGCGGTGAAATTGAACAGGACACATTGTAGCTGCGTGATATCACTTTTAATTCTGTGCGCGTGTGTGCATGTCTGCGTGATAAAGCTGATAGATTGATCGTACCGCGCCTCGCCGCGGTAGTCTAGTGGCTAAGGTACTCGGCTGCTGACCCGCGGGCGCGGGTTCGAATCCGGCTGCGGCGGCTGCATTTCCGATGGAGGCGGAAATGTTGTAGGCCCGTGTGCTCAGATTTGGGTGCACGTTAAAGAACCCCAGGTGGTCTAAATTTCCGGAGTCCTCCACCACGGCGTCTCTCATAATCATATAGTGGTTTTGGGACGTTAAACCCCACATATAATCAATCAATCAATTGATCGTACCGCTCGATGTAGTACTGCTTCTCAGCAAGAGCAAACGTGATGGGCATGCACATCTTTAGCACGGGCGCCTGTCAATCAAAGTGATCATGCCTGAAGTCGGATAAAGCTAATTAATTCTGAAAAGGCCCCAGTTCTACTCACAACTGTCACTGTGCCGATGTGACTGTCAAGCATTTGATGCAGTGAACGCTAAGCGGCAGCTTTTTTCATATAATAATTTCGTGGGTTTGCACTACTTGTGCAAGGCTGGAGCTGGAGCTTGGTATAACATAGCATCTTGCAGCTTCTTAAGTTGGTCGTTTACTCATGTGCTTGGTCGACTTCGTAGTGCAGATCGCATCAGCTCTGTCTTAATTTGTTGTACTAATGACTGTGGCTTAACATCATTACAGTGAGCTGTTTCTCTTCATTGATAAGGTTTAAACTAAAAGGCAATTGAGTGCAATTAACAAGGCCGTGATCACTATAGAGCTATTAAATGTAATCCTGATTAGCAGGATACATTGTCATCGTATTGTAAGGGTGTAATTAGCATGGCTTCGCTTAGGATGCTATGAATAATGTCATGTTGATTAGCAAGGCTTAGTTAGCTCATCAACTAGCATGCTTTACTTAGCCGGTTCTAGCTTTAATCGCTTCATAAGCATGGTCTTCTTAAGAGTGTGGCGTAATTACCTCGGCCCAGGCGCGTAGCCAGAAATTCATTTTGGGTGGCACACCTCCTTGATTCCGGGAGAGGCACCTCCTTGAAACGGTCATTTTTCACTCTATGCCATGGCAAAAAAAAAATGTTTGAAGAGGGTGGGGGGGGGGGGGGGGCTGGGAGAGATACGGGCTCAGTATGCCATCCCTGGCTACGCCCTTACCTTGGCCTTACCGGGACTTGGTGTAATTATCTTGGTTATTGCATGTCCTGGCTTAACTAGCCAAGTATACCGTCCAGCTAAATAGCTAATTAGTTGTCTGCACGTGCTCGGTGCTAGGGGACGATAATTATTCTAAAACAGACTTAGTGCAGGCATTAAAAGCTTCAAATAAATATAAAGACCCTGTGTCTCTAAGACATTGCATCATGAAAAGTTTCGGACTCGTTTATTGCATGGGTATACATCTGCACTCAGTGGAACGACAACACAAATGAAAGAAGATGCCTCTGGTTTGAAAACACGCCCAACTTGGTTGACTGTCATTGATGCGATGACTGGTTTCATCGCAAGCAATCAAATGCAGCGCACTGAGGGGGTGGATTTGAGTTTTTCGTACTGTTGGCTCATTCAAAAGGGGGTGTCGCCAGAGCTCGGAACATTTCAGAGATTCGCGAAGCTCGATCGATCCTGCATAGCACCCCAGTCTGAACAAGTCTGGTAGGTGCTGCAAATGTTGACGTTGTTACATCAGCCCCAGAAAACTCTTGCCCCACTGTGGGAACACACATATAGTTTGGAGAAACAGTGCTTAAAAGGTGTCACAGATGGTCAAACATTGAGCAGTGAGCATCTGTCGGTGTAATGCGTCGCCACACTGCAGATGCAAGTTTGGTCAGACTGGTATCGCAGGAGAGAAAGGTTAGGAAAGGTCTCAGTAGGCGTAAGTGCTCTGTTGCCCTTCTCTGGTTGTTGCGATGGTATCTGTTCACTTACATGTCACCGAAGTTTATGGAGTGAAATGGCACTATTTTTGCTGGGGTAGTGAGACTGACAATGGGCTAATCTGCTTCACCTTGTCTCCAGCATTGTCAAAGCAAATGTTTGGAGTCCTCTAGTGAGATGTATTGAGTATGCATGTGTGACCAGATGCTGTGCTACTTAATTAGTATGTGTACCGTAAAATTTTGAGCAAACTTCTTTGGTGAAGGATAACCAGGCGAGATTCGAAGAGCTGGCCCTTGCTCGGTCAAGGATCAAAATTCAACGTGGCAGCAGAAGCACTGTTTAAAATAATGCGCACCTTTATTCTAATACAATGCATTAATAATATGAATGCATTGACTGTTTTTATTCACAGGGTTAATGAGAACAGTGAATGAAACAGTGCAAGTGGTGGAAGGGGAGAAGGGGGTGCATATTTGAAATGCCGCAAGAGAGAGAGAGGGGGGGGGGGGGGCACTTGCCTAGGATTTCATGGTATATTTTCTTCACCTGTATGCATTATTCTTAGCCTACTCGTGTTTCCTTTGCGACACTTTGTTGCTGTGTCATCTTTCTCTTTTGTCTGTAGATGGCATTGCTTCATATATACACGCTCCCGGATGCAGATTTCACACATGAGGCATTCTCACTTGCGCGTAAATTGGTTTGTGAAAGACTAATGAAACAGTGCTTAAAGGACAACTCGCAAAGTTTGACAATTTTGAGCTGACAAGTGCAACGCATAGATGAGGCGTTCATGATCACGTCTACCAAAATTTGCGACGCTACGCACCGGGGAAATGAGTGAAGTTTCAATATGAATGCTGCTCCCCTTCCTTTTGTGGGCACGTGCCTAGAGAATGGGTGCATGACGTGCGCGTCTGAATGGCCTTACGTACATGGCAATGCAGTCACGTGGTCATCTACCTAGACAACTCTGCTCTGATGTTGTCAACAGTATACAACGTGACATGGCTTAAATTATTAACACGACATAAGTAGTTTATGTATCTTGTTAGCTTGAATAGATGAATAAAACTTGAGATAAATAATTAGACAATAAGGAAATGTGCCATTTTTTTCCCATTTTTATCCGTGAATTGCAACGAATGCGGGGCTAATGTGCCAGCGTTTCGCATGCGTATGGTCCCCACAGTCGGCGCATTGAGCAGACAGCCGTGGAACGCTCCTAGGCGCTCGCTCACTCATTGTGCTCATCTATTCTACCGCATCTAAGCCAGCGTTTCCAACCATCCCACAGAAACAGGCAGTAGACTTCAAAACAACGCTCGTCAAAATAAATAAATAAAAAATGCCTCTTGTGTGCACTGGAGTTGGGCTTGTTCGAAACGTCATGCGCATGTGACCTCTTCATCGGATGCCGAAGAGGGTAGAGAAGAGATTTGGCTTGCGAAGGCTATGTGGAGGAGCGACAAGGGTTTTGAGCTCGCCTCCTCTCATCCTCATTTCGCGCCGCTTCAAAAAAAAAAAAAAAAACAGTCTCAGCGTAATGAAGTGATTCAAAAAAATTCTTGTGGCAAAATTCTTGTGGCCAGGCACCCAACAACTTCCATCGTCTAACTAAAATTCGATATGGGGCCTGGTGAGTGGCCCTTTAAAACGAGATGAGAGGACACATACACAGTAGTTACTAACAAACAAGGTTTATTGCAAAACAACTGCAATATATAGGAACTCGGATATATAGTATAAGGAAGGGGGATATTGGATATATTCAGTTGTTTTGCAATAAATCTTGGTTGTTAGTCAGTGCCATGACTGTGTCTTCTTCTTGTCCCATTTTAAGGGTTGTTTTATTTTTTCTGCAATGTACCAACCATGCCAGTCAAGCACTCTTCCTTCGTTGAAGATTGTGTGTGTTTTGTTATTTATCTTTTGCTCTCTTTTAACCTCCTATTCGCCAACCGCAGTGCCGGGTAGCATACCGGATCTTATCATCTGGTTACCTTTCTTCTGCCTTCCTCTTTTCTCTAATTCTCTCTTGTAAGCTGCACAGCGGTGAGGGGGCTCAAGAATGCAACGCAAATGTATAGTTTAGTAATGAAGCAGTATATTTGATGTTCAGTTGTTCTAACATAATTAGTGCAGAAATATTTTTTTTTTACTACAAGTTTACTGACCCCTGTACTGTGCTGCGTTCGTCTTTCGCTCGAAGTATGTAAAGGGTGAGTGCCACATGTAAGCTTCATTTGTGGGCATTCATTTGGAGAGTAACAGGAAGAGAAATGTTGGAAAGAGATACGGAGGAAGCATACTCAGTTCAGATATCTAAGTAGACTACATATGTTTAACTGTATGATGATGTACCCGCAGAGGTAGGACAGAGCCAGAGGTAGGACAGAGAAATATTTTTTTTTTACTACAAGTGTACTGACCCCTGTACTGTGTGCGTTCGTCTTTCGCTCGAAGTATGTGAAGGGTGAGTGCCACATGTAAGCTTCATTTGTGGGCATTCATTTGGAGAGTAACAGGGAAAAGAAATGTTGGAAAGAGATACGGAGGAAGCCTACTCAGTTCAGATATCTAAGTAGACTACATATGTTTAACTGCATGATGATGTATCCGCAGAGGTAGGACAGAGCCGCCGTGGCTGAGGGATAACGCTGCAGCTCCAGTTACCGTGTCATATCATTAGCCTGAAAATTTTTTTCTAAAGATATTTACATAAGGACTGACATTAAAATCAAATTTTATATTGAATGGCGCTACCTCCGGAGAGTTTCACAGCTTTAACGGTCTGAAAGTAGATTCTGGCAATGGTGTGTTTTTTGAATTTTTTAAACTTTGACAGTGCGTATTATTGTCTCTCCATGCCCGCAGGTGCTTTTGCTGAGACAGCAGAAAGACAAAGATGACCTGAGGAGCGAGAATGACACAGCTTGCATACTCATTTTTCGGCTCGTGCTCAACACCATGCAGAAAGCCATCCTTTCATCACATGGTGACGACAGCGAAGGCACGTGGTTTTCTACACTTAATCTTCATTAATTTTAAGTTCTTTAAGGCTTTGGCTCTTAGCCTTCCTACAGTTCTTGAAGGCGATGATATGACAGATTGACTGTAGACACGCTGCACAGTACATATATGTTGGGACTAGTCTACATGATTTTCTTTTACCCCCTCATTACATTTCCCATGTGGGTAACACACTGTATATAGGGCACCTAATATTCTTGTTTTTTCTGTATTCCCTGTAAAGTTTGCTGTATGGGACCGTAAACACATAAGAAAACAATTTATTCCAAGTACTGTTATCAGATGTACATATGCATTTTTACAGTTTTGTCATTTAACAGAAAGCGTTGGAAACAGCTGATGAAAAGTTAGAATCCTAGAATCCTGAATAAAAAGTTCAGAGCAGGAGGGGGTTCAATTTGTCAGCACCTATGCTACAAATGAAAGGATCACCAAACGAGTTCATATAGAAATTATTGCAGTATTTCATTGTTAGACTTCCTTATTTCATGTGATAAGCTGGTGTATTCCAAGTACAGTGGAATCTCGTTATGTTTTTTGTGAGAATCGGTAAATAAAGCTTACTATTATTGAACATAGAGGTTAAAAAAGGAGGAAAATATGAATACTCCTACTCACTTTTAATGAGCAACATCGAAGTAGCTGGTCGATTTGCACTGCACTTTTTTGTTTTTATCATTGGACAGAGTGGCCATGCCTGGCAGCGACCTCTTGGCTGCAAAGCTGCTGCAGCCTGAGCCACTCTGCAATGTGCTGATCGCAGCTTATAGGAACCTACTTTGATCTGGAATACTGAAAAATAAATGTATTTCTCGATATATTGATTAAGGCCTACTTTCGTGGTCATATTATCCTAGTTTGGGCAAAAGCGTGATCGATTAGATGAATGTAGATTCATTACTTTTAAAGTACATTGACCGGGTATGAAATAAAAGTGTATTCTGCAGAATCATATCAACGAGATTACATTATACATGACAGTTGCTCACCAAGAAATAATTTAAGTGGGCTACCAAGAAGTCAAAGATAATCTGAAGCCTGAAATATGAGAATTGCAAGAAACTACCAGGCTTTTTGTACCAGTCACAGAAAAGAAGGTGGGGAGGGGCACTCTGTTCTTGAACCCTCACTTTCAGGTGTAATATAATAGTATTTTGTGATTCGTAGAACATTCATAAGCATGCTACCTTATAATATTACTGGAAACATGTTACCATTGGTGCATCCTGTTTAGTCTCATGCAATATTGAGAACAGGTAAGTGATTGTCCGGATATATATATTCATAGCAGGGTTCGTACAGGTTCTTGAAATCCTTCAAAACCCTTGAATTTGAAAAATGCACTTTCGAAGCCCTTGAAAGTCCTGGAATTTTTCCCCATCCTTGAAAATCTTTGAATTACCTGAGCAGTGCACTCTCATATCGACATTGTGACCTGCTAAATGTGGTACATCGGTGTGTGAACCTGTCAAACTCCCCATTTCTGATGCAGTAATGCGGCGTGGGTGCACATGATCCCAAGAAAAGTTAGTTTGTGGTGAGGGTGAAGCAGTGAATGTGATAGCAAAAAATTAGAATGTCACACGAAGAAGGGCAAGCAACCTCATACATGCAACGTGCCACTCAAGCACGAAGGATTACGGAAAGAAAGCGCACAGGACGAATGCTGATAAACGACTGTCACAGCTCGACACTGGAAGCGTGCTGCTTAAACAAACCAAGAACTGTGCTAGAAAAGAACACACATGTATCCACAGGATGAGTGTAAATTAACCACTGTCGCAGTTGTTACTTCTTGGTTGTTGAGCAATGTGCTGCCAGTGTCAACTGTGCACAAGTCGGCCCTTATAATAGGGTGGTGCCATCAAATTTCAAGGCTACAGCGAGCACCTTGTGGGTTTAAGAATATATTTTAAGTCACTTCCCAAGTGTAACTAAATGCTCATTCTCCTAATCGAGGCTCATCGCGAGCACGTCCAACACTGACGTAGCTCTACAGGAACAACAAAAGTTCTAGTGACGTCACACCAGATCTGTAGTCAGCTGAGTGACCTCCGAACTTCTGCCCTGTACATACCGGCAAACCATCGCGGCTGCTGCAGGTAGAGGCAAGTTTGTTTTGCAGGTGCTTGTGTGGCAAATGTGTGCGAAAGCTGACAACACTCAGCATGATGCGTGCAAAGCTTTGTGATCCCGTGACTAAGTTAGCTACACTGCTATGTACCTGCACAACTCGGTCCCCACAAAGAGGAACTTAATGTTGTCAATATGAAAAAGGTGATAAATTCTATAGCGAGAATGAATGAATCTTGGTGCATGTACCGTGATTATTGGAGCTATAAATAAAACTTGCACTAAAGAACATGCTAGCCACAAATATTGTGGCACGACACCTTTAAGGCCCGACTACACATGCGCTTTGAAGCCCATCAGCGCATAACTTTCCGACATGACATCATGCCCTCTCTCTATGGAGAGGGTGCCAGAAGTTAAGACTACGCTCTTTTTTTTTTTATAATTGCGATATCCATATATTGTTAGTGCACGGTCATTTTTGAAATATTAGAGTGAAGAATTACAGGTTAGCATGCCTCTTTGAGTCCTTGAAAAACTTGCAACAAATCCTGGAAAGTTCTTGATATTCTTGAATTTTCACTTTGAAAACCTATACGAACCCTGCATAGTTATTGAATGCCTTGCTGTGATTATGCACTGACCTATAGCTTAAACTGTCTAGGATTCCGATCCAAAGGTACATTGCGAAACCAAATCATGGCTCTGGAGGCTGCATTTCTATGGAGGCGAAATGCTAGAGGCCCTTGTACCTATATTTAGGTACACGTTAAAGCAACACAAATTTGAAGCCAATACAGCTTCATGTGTAGCTGGAATTGAGATGGTTTTGCATGGATTCGGCTTGTTGGTAATTGAACCGTACCAAACCAAACAAGTAGTCAGCACATCGCGTCATACCTTGACATGATGGTAATAAACCGATAAGAAAGCAAAGCATCGCTTTTTCATTGAGCCGCCAACAGGTAGAGTGCGGTTGCCCCTCTAATTCGGAGACCGGCAACAATATGCAGGTGTTTGCTCTGAGCTACCTACCAGTTATCAGATGTCTCAGGGTTTGTCATTTTAGTTCAGAGACCGGTAGCAATTTGCTGATGCTCGCGCAGCTCTTTTTTGACCAGAACTTCATGTGTGTGTATTCTTGATCTTGCTTCAAGACTACGTCATGCTACATGTGTACAGTCAAACCCCGCTACAACAATTGATGAGATAAAAAAAAAAATTGTGGTCACATATTTTGTTGTAGTGAAATTTCATCTATAGACCGTAAAATTCGGTAATACCTGATCATTATGACTTGTCCTTTGGTCCCAGCAAGTGCATGCATTGAACTGTTGCTAGCTCTGAGGTATCTGGTCACACACCTTGTGGACACATTTTATTGCAAATAACATGCACAAAATATACAGATAATTTGGAGCCAAACTCTGTGTGTAGCTTATGAAAGAATATCGGCGCTCAAGTTGGCTTCGCTTCAATCGTGGGATCGAATCCCGGCTGCGGCGGCTGCATTTCCGATGAAGGCTGAAATGTTGTAGGCACGTGTACTCGGATTTAGGTGCACGTTAAAGAACCCCAGGTGGTCGAAATTTCCGGAGCCCTCCACTATGGTGTCTCTCATAATCATATGGTGGTTTTGGGACGTTAAGCCCCACATATCAATCAATCAAGTTGGCTTTGCTTCATGGCATGCTTTAACAGTAATGCAAGCAAGGCCGCCTAGTGATATATGCTGGTTATATGCAATATTCATATGGTGGTAGCTAGGCTATATGAGTGAATGCTAAAGACAGCGAAAACTCTTTTTACACTTTCTCAGAAAAAATTCATTACTGTTTCTAAATGATGTATTTTCAGAACAAAGAACACAACGCTTAGCCTGCGAGCGAGGCAATGGTACGCCAGCAACTAAAGGTGGAAACGCATGCCATGTTTTTAGTGAGGCAAAAATGCGACAGGCGGTGAGTGCCGGCGTTGCCGTAGAATGTGTCTTGCAAGCAAACCGAGAGAGAACCCCCAAAAGCTTATGTGTGTTTTGCATAGTTTCACCGTGGGAGCGTCTGCTTCTGGTTCGTAGCATTTGGTTCATTGTAACCATGCTTACGACGCTGTCAAAAGAGCGGCAGCGAGCATCCGAAAATTTGTTCGAATTGAAAGAAGTTCAAAATCATGAAAGCTAAATGAACGGAGGGTTCACCATGCAGTGGTGCAGGTGCATTGAGCTAGCACACAAGGAGGAAGTTTCAGAAGACTTAGATTTATTCAAAAATCACAGGACATCCGTCATTAACTGAAGTAATTGGTGATGCACGCACATCTGTACACGTTTGCCTTGCAGCGAGTCAATCAATTTCGCACGCAGTTTGCAAAGCATTTCTACTTTGGCTTTAGCATTCTCCTGGCAAGAGAAGTTGCGCACGGCAACATAGGTGGTGGTAGTAGTTAAGAGGAAGAAGGCGCCTAATTTCCGCAGCCCGGTAGGGAGCACGGCGCCGCAGCGCGTGTGTCAACACTCTCTAAAGACGACGGCTACGACTGCGTCTCCACTGCTATCTTCTGCGCCGCAGCGGGAGCATGGCCAGCACATGACGAGAAAGAAGGAGCGTCTCCATGCGGAGAGCAACGCTTCGCGGCAGCTTCCTCTTCCTCCTGTTCATCAAGTCATCCTCATTAATCGAGCATTTGAAGCTTTCAAAATAACCAAATTCAGCCCCTTCAGCCAGAACAGCGGTGATTGACGGGGAACACCGCTGCAAGCTTTGTAGCGCGGTAAAATGCTGTTTAGCGGCGATGTGGCATTTCTATAACCACATGGGTCCACTTCCGCGGCACGGCAACGTCAGCTACAATATCTGCATCGATGCATTGAGAAACAGCGACGTCGTCATCAGTGTCCCCATCTAGAAGTCTTATGCACATTACGGAGTTCTCTCATTAATGTTACCGAAGTGATTTACTAGGTAACAGCGTATTTCGTGCTCACTGCTATGGTATATTCAATTTTGCAATAGAAATTGCCCCATAAAATGTGTATTAAAATAGTTTTCTGTATTTGACTATATCTGTGCATGGTTATCTTTTCAGACATGAATGTGGAGCACACCCAGCTACTGCTTTTTTGTTTCACAACCTTCAGCTAATGCAGAAGAAAGTTGTGCTACTGAGTGTTGCCAAGACTATTATTATGTGGCCCCAGTGTCCCAGAGGTATGGAATTTTTGCCACCTTTTAGTTTTCACAATTTGTTCGAACTGATGTAGCATGTAATCATGCCACTTCTACATTTTCCTGCTAATATTGTGTGGTGATGTTTGTGAGTAATATTGCCTGCTATAGTGCGATTGCCCTACTATGCCATGAAGCTGCCTTTCCATGGGAAAGCAGCACTGCCACAAAGCTACTTTTCAATGTTAATTGTGCATATTACCTATACTCTGATAATTTTTTTCTGAAGTGTCTAATACAGCTAAATATGACAGTTTTCAAAACTTTTCATATTTTATCTCATGTAACCTGCATTTTGCTAATCAAATTCTACTACTATATTTCAGATTCACTTAAAATATGTGATATCAATTGCGATTCATTCCAGACCTACAAGTAATATTTTCCTAAGTCTATTTGAAAACGGAGCAGGATTAAGGTTATAATTTTGGGGAGAAGGGAGTAGCGAGGGCATCAAATCCCTTTGTAAATGTGTGCATGTGTGAGTATGTTCGCATGCGGAAAGTCGTGGGTTAGAACCGCGTGCCGCCGGACACCCACCGGTTTTACAAAATAGTTACAGACGTCCCCCGGCCCGACACTCTACTACTTCAGAGCTGGAGCGTCTGGGAAGGGCAGCTTGCTGGATTCAAATCCGGTCGAAACATGTGAGCACAATGAGTGGAGGTAAAACTCGCTCGGTAAATCAAGAAAACGTGCCGTGCCCAGTCGCCGCAGATTCGAAAGAACTTGTTCATGATCCAGTTGGTACTTGCTGCATGACATGATTGCCACCAAAATGACACAATGAGTTGAAATGAGTTAAAAGTGCCCCCTGGGTATTCCAGCTTGTTTTTCTTTCGTCAAGAAGGCTTCAGCAGGACTCGAAATATGTAACTCTTTATTAGGGCGAACCTCTTGTTTTCAGAAAATAAAATGTCAAAGCATAAGTACTCTGACAGCAGCGTGACCAGTATATCAGCCATCATGTAATGTGCCATGCAATAGAGCGCATCTGCACTTACACATGGGCCATTGAAGGTTATATCGTTATTGCTCGTTGCCGTGGAAGTTCCAGAGTAAGCTCTAATCTTTATGTTGGGGGCATAATCTAATTGGAAGATTTCAAATTAATCTCAGTCATTGGGGTGCGGTTTACACTAGGCAGTAGTTACATGTGTAATGGTAGATTGATTGCTCTGTCGCTTTGATGCCACTGCAGTTAAACTCCTTTCTCTTGTGATCAGTATAGTAGGTGTCGATAGGCCCATAAAACCTTGAACAGCATGCACCATAGTAATTCGATTACAGTCGAGCCCACTATATAACAACCCCACTCAAAACAAACTTTTGCTTAAAACGAACAATGCCTGCATGACCTTAGAAATGTACATTACTTCAATGGCACAAAATCGAACTTGCAACGAACATCTCTGAGCACCAGAGTCAGTTACAGCGAACGGAGACAGCACTCCGGTGACTTTTCAGAAAACCACTTTCGACCACCGATAAGCCATCGGCGAGTTGGCCAACGATTTTTGTGGTTAAACGCTGACCCTGCCTCCGCAGCCCTATAGTCGCTCTTCTCGACCGTTTTTTCATGAACCTCCTCCGTCCTCTGCTCCCCCGCTACGCTGAGCACCCCGCATCGCCAGGCGAGGCCCGTGTTTTCACACTGCCATCAATCTTTCCAAGACCGGTTGGTGAACTAGTCTCCTTTAAGTTTTTGGCTGCTGGTTTTGGTTGCCGGCCTGGAGTGACCAGACCATTTGCCAACATAGTTGGCCACTGACTACCCTATCGTGTGCAGCCCTGTCTTGCATGGATTGGTGTCGTATCGTTGCAGTGCACGTTCCTGCTCCGCGCCACCGCCGATCAAATGGACCTCGCACCGTTGACGTGCCTCCGCTCAAGGTGGAAACACCGGCGTGCCGCCGCTGGCAATTTCGGTACCCGCACACTGGTCTAGTTGGTATCGGCGTTTTCTTGAGACATTACATTCAAGACTGAAGCGGAGCCTGAAAAGCAGCTTTGCCGCAATATGAGAGTGTGACCAGGGGAAGCATATTGGAAAACCTTATAGGATCACTTTCAATAGGACATTGACTGTATTTGTCTTCAGAAAGTTCAAATAGTCTGAATAGCAAAATACCAGTGCAAATTTGGTTGAATAGCAAACACTATTCAATAATCAAAATTTAGAGTATTCGCACACCCATATTCAAAGAGTTGCAAATATCTGAGGTATATTGCATTACTTTGGGAAGAGCTTTACTTGTTTATGCTTTCTCTTTTTCTTCTTTATCGCAGCCCACTAAAAGACATCCAGATTATCTACATTGCAAGGCTTCTGCACATCTTCGAGTACCTAATCAAGAACTTATATGATGCTCGGCCTCTCTTGTGGACCAGGTGAGGAACATGAATATGTATATATAACTGGACAATAAAGGGAAACACGGAATCAGTTTAGACAGAATAATTATTCTTTTGAAATTGTATTTTCACTAAGCTCACCATCATGGGTTTGGTATTAAAACTGAAGGTCAGTGTTTCACTTTTGAATTTTGCTCTGAATATTTCGCTCTGGAAAGATGTGGCTTTACAGATTTAAAAGCCTTTTTCTTTTATTTTGATGAAATTAGCTCAATGAAATTTTGTGAAGTTTGCTTCATTTAATTTTTGGCTCCTTTGGAACATTATGTAGTTCATTTTTATAGGTAAATACTTATGTAAGCCTTGGAAGGCTTAGTCAAAATCTGACATAACTGTATGTCTGTACAGGAACCTCAAGTTGGGGCAGCCACCTGTGTTTTTTTATGAGTGTTAAGATAGCTTCGAAAGCATCTTCTTGTGAAAAGATGGGCACTTTTCGTATTGTGAAAGGGCGATTTACCAGTTTAATAAAAATCATTTTTGTTTAATATTCCTTTAAAAAGTGTGACATGTTAATATAAAAACTGATAAAAGAGCTAAGGTGTTTACTTGAATTATGGATTTTGAAATTTTTCTGACACAGGTGTACATTCTCTTGTTTTTGTCATGTCATAATTTTGCATTTTCCACTCCCCAAATGTTCTCCCCTTTGGAGGTGTACAGTAACACAAAGTTAGTCTAAACTGGTTCGACCATACAATTTTTATTTCTAGAAGCATATTTTATTCCCATTCTGGGTTTGCGCTATTTGGGATTTGGTTGAGAGCTGCAAAATGTGCCATGTTATGGGTGTGGCTGTTGAGCCCAGGCACTTACTTGTTCAGGACTGGTATCAGCACTTGGGCTCCTGTGCAAGTTCAGCATGGCTTTTTGTGCCTGTGGCTTGGCTGACATATTGTAACATACAGCACAGGTTCAGCATGGCTTTCTCTGTACTCACATATACAAGAGAATCTTTGCGATACAAACCCGGCTTGTATGAATTTTGGGCGGATACGTATTCGTGAAATTCCGGAATAGACTATTTTAAGCAATCTCAGAACGCCACACAGGCACTCGAAGCACTATGGGAAAAGTGTGTACGTCGAGCGTGCCAGCTATTCTGTCGCCTGCTTTCGTTGCTGCCGTAGGAGCGCCAAATGAAAAAAATATCATTGCTTGTCGACTATATTAAATCCTAAAACTACTGCACATGTCTGAATGCATCTGCATGTATTTCTATGCATGGAATGCGGAAGGAATGATGAAGTCAGTGTCAGTCAGTCATTACCGAGCAGATACATACGAGATGAAGCAGTTAAGCAGGGTGTGAGTTATCGCGGGCTGATACTTGCAGTAAAAATGTCCTATCGTGAGCAACACGATTTCAGTGATTACGTGTTCACAAATTGAACAGTTAATCGCCTGCGATTGGCAGTAACAAAACTGCAGAGAGGCGTTACAGTTTTCAGGTACAGTATAACCTCATTACAATAGACCTCCATAGCGAAGAGGATTTTGGTCTGTTTTAAAAGGAATATGTAAAATCCAAGTCAAGTGCTGTTATAACAGACTTTTATTAAAGCAATGAATGGGTCTATCATACTGTTATACCCGGAGAGAGTCACTAGTCATCTACAAACATACTCTCAATGGAACATGAAAAAATTCATTTTTTGAAAATCAATCTTCAGTTTCTGTAGCCCTTTTCCTAAGATTTAAATTACTTTGACTGAAAACTACGTAAAAGGCTCTAAAAGGTTTTTTGCGCCTGCTAAGGTGGCGAAAATTGTCGTGGAAGTAAAAAAAAATAAAGCGTTTTTGAAAAATTTGTAGTTTTGCGATGGCACAATTGCCCACCACCATTTTGGGCTTGTCATAAAAGTATTTGGTAAAAGGAATTTCATGTTAAAAAGACAGATGTTTGAAATTTATTTCGAGGCCTCTATTGGCTGCTTCTGCCGTGTTGCTTCGGCACACCTCGCCAGTCCGATGCTAGTTCCAGATGTCTCTCCAGTAGAGCGTCGTCATTATTCTGTGTCGCGAGGTTGCAGCTGTTTGAAATGGCACTACGTAGTGACATTTTCGCACTTGTTCTGTGTTCACGGGCTGTTAAGGGGGGACATGGGTCTTTAAAATTTTTTTTCTGTTTTTGGCTCAATCTTGACCAAACCTCACCATCTTGGACAGTTTTTCATGCTGATTTCAAATATGTAATTGTTTCTGAAATAGCTTCAGTGGATGAAAGATATTAACACCTGTAATTTAATTAATTATGCACTTCATTGGGGGCTTTTTGGCAACTTAATCAAGCCAGATCCAAAAAATAAATGCATAGCCCCAATGCTGAGGGCTTTCTGTATGGGGTGATGCTATTTTTATTAATTTTTAGGCATTATATAGATAAGAAACAGACCAGCACTTACAATGGATATTCTGTTCAATTTTCGCTCATTACTATCCATAATTGTAATTAACAGTATGCTTCTAAAGTAATCAAAATAGCATCACCCCATAGGTAATGTTACTACAAATAAAATGATACCAA